ACGAAGAGGCTGCAAAGATTCAGGCAGTAAGGGAGACCACAAATTCGTCATGAAGCTACATATTTGTCAAGAAATATGGGCCCTCACTGGAGGTAACTAGCCGCTGCTTACGTACCATGGCGATGAATGAAGCACAAACAAGTTATTTCGCGCTTAAATTCAAGGGTGTTCTCGCGGTGGCTGTAGGAGCCTTACGGAGGGGGGGTTAGGGAGTAAGCCTTACGGAAAGATAATGTGGCACCAGCATTCGAAATTGAAATCTTTGAAAGGCTCAGAAAAGTTCTGAAATATTTTGGACCTCAGTGTTCCTGAGAACAGAAAACTTAGGAAAAATTTGGTTCTTTTCTTACTTCTCGTAATTTATTGTACGGGCGACTTGATTGCAATGTTTTTATTCATTATTTATTCATGCGTGCGAATGCAATGTTCGTACCCATGCATGCAACAAGGGCCCCTTCTGTGTGAAACCGCCTTCTGTGCGGAGATCGTCTCTCAAACGTTATGGAAGAGTGATGACGTGCTCGTGCCAATCACATTAGCTACATAGCAGGCTGATGACCCCATGGATTCGAGTTAATGTAGCGGAAAACGACTACGAAGTTGATAGGAGCGACGACCTCTTCGTACGTTTCGGAATTGAGGTTTATGAACTATGCTATACACGAAAGGTCAGCAATTCCCTTTTTTTCTACGTCGGCTCACTAACATCGAGCATCCAGCCAAGCAAGGAAAACGAAGTGTTTAGAAGTTTTCTGGGGTCAGTGGGTGGCTGTTGTGCAGCTGATGACGCTGTGACGAATTGTTCACTCCTTTATCACTGCATGGTTCACTCCAGGCCGTCTCCGACACCTTCAGCGAATTTGTGCTTACCGTAGTTTTTTAGGATAACAGTTATGACCAGAGCAATGAACCCCAAATAAGTATTGACGCTCAGGCTACCATCAGGCTATTCACTGCAAAACAGGGGCTTTCCAGAAGAGAATTGCCTCAAAATCGAATAGAGATCGTGGAGGTGGCTATGTTTATTTATTTATTTAATTATTTACTAATGCTCAAATGAGACAATGTTATATTAAAATTCAATGGGGAACAGTAGGTTGTGTGTATATCATGTTAACACCTTTGAATGAATACTTTCCCTTGGCGCAAAATCCCACTTCCTGGCTTTAACTATGTGGTCTAACCCATAGCTTCGAAGGAGTGCTGCTAGAGAAACATTCGAATATGCCATATGAACTTTATGCACCGTTTAACCGTCCTGTAGAGAAAGATGGGAAGTGTAGAGTTTGGAGGAAGGTCATTCAAGATAAAAGTGAAAAACGAGACGAGTCGGACGGTCGACACAAAAGCCACCACACAGGAATTAAAGACGATAATCGCGTGTACCTGTCGTCATATGCGACGAGAAGCGCCCACCCGGTAGATAATTGCAGTGGAAGGTACATTGGCAAGGGTGTGGGGTTAAGGGGCCAGCGGTGGAACGTGGAGGCGGCGATGGTAATACCTGTGCATGAATAGCACCAGTCTCATTAGCGATTCACCTCGCACAGGTCAAGGGGTCAGCAGGAGCGCCACCAGCAGCAGCAAAGACATGAGGGGCGGATGCGTTTTGAATTCCCTGAGAGGACATTGTCTTGGTGGATTCATTATGCAAAGATGCACTTCAGAAGACGTAGCGGTGAAGGTTGCGATGCATGGAAATGACGCAACGAAGGTAGCGCGATGCGATTTTTTCACATCTGGCCGACAGTCACAGACCTCTCGGATTGTCGATTACTTTTATGATGAAAATTAATGAGTTGCAATATTCAAATAGATTCAAGTCTATGAACCGTACGTGAACTGCATTATACGAACCAAAGCAATCTAGGAACATTTAAAATGTCTTTGGATGCCCATTAAAATATTCAAAAGGTGAAAACGTAGGCGGAAGGGACGGATTGAATTTGAGTTCTTTCTCGAAGCCGAAATGGAAACGTTTCGATGAATTGAACCGCCGAGAGGAGGAGGACAAACGGACCTGCGACCTCCCGGGCATCTCATTTCGCTTTGCAGATGATCCCAAACCCCAGACTCGTTCGCCATCAAACGTAATCCTCATAGATATCCTAAGAACTTTTGGCTCATAACGAGCGATTTTACATTGTAAATGAAAATAGATATTCTGTCTAAGGCTATTGGAAACAGGGCATTCTAGGACTGAGCCTAGGAGGGCGCAGGAACTACGAGGAAAATTTAAGTCGCTCACGCAGTCCAGAGTTTCTCCTCCTTCGTCTACAGATTGGTCTCGATTTCAACAAAAAGAGATGTTTTACGCGGTTCCTGAATGTATTGTCACCACAATTCCCCACATCTAGTGACTGAATGAATTCTTCTTGAAATGAATTTGTACTGAGTTGCAGGCATGTCACCTTGAACTCATCGCAGATTTTCAGAGGTCGTAAAGTCCATCGCTCTATTCCAGTGGCATACCGAATGTACTCAGTCGTCAGTGACCTTCATTTTATTGTGTGATCGAAGCCCTTTCCTCATTGAACGACTAAGCGCTGCTGTAGGCGCGCAGCCTTTCGAAAGCCAACCTGGAAAATGCGCCAGGAAGCTTCTGCGGGGTCAGCAGTCCATGGTAATTACTAACGGAGGGAAGTTCTGTTTTTGAGGAGTCATGAATAATTCTTCTATCTTTGTGTAGCTTCATTTTTGGTTAGAATTGCGCCTAAAATTTTCAGGAGCTGTGGGGCGAACGTTTTGCCGTGATGTATTGGAGGTGGAGAGGGGTCATGCATGACGGATTTTTTTTTACAAATTTGACAAATTCTTCACGATGTGTAGATCCATGGAAGACGCTAAATTGGAGCCTCCCCGGCTAGTTGCTCATATTTGCCCCTTACCGCCTCTCCCATCTCGACGGCAGCTCTGGAGAGAAAGAGTGGGCGGAGTCAGAGTGTGTGGGTGCCCTCAGAATCGAATACGATAGAAACAACTGGTAGCGAGGTGGGTGTAGTGGGGTGGTGAGATGGGGTCGTATCTATGAGCCACCTCTCAACGTGTTGTGGTATGCGATGGTATCCAGACGTCCCTCGTAATCTTTTCGAGATTTTTCCCAGCGTAACAGTTGATTCTTGCTCCTGGTTGCTCACTCAAACTCCCTTGTATGACATAATAATATAACAGAGTGAACTATGAAATCGCTGCTCTTAAAAGATATGTAGCTTTATTCTTGATAATTAACAAAGAACGTCATTAACATGAGATGTGACTTGGGTGTTCGTAGGCCGGCCTGTCACAAAGGGCCTGTCGCCTGCATTCGAATGTCCGCGATCAGCTCAGCCCACAAAAGTGAGCAGTTCCCAGTGGCACTCCGTAGAGGGCGGACCACACCACCACTGTTGGCTTGATACGCTGCACGAAGACCTGGAATCAGTTGGCCTCTACCCTGATCACGCATTCAATCGGGAACAATGGCGTCAACAAACCAGGAAAGCGGACCCCGCTCTTGAGGGGCAAACGCTAAAGAAGAAGAAGAAGAATTAACGAAGAGTATTTAGAACCAAAATTAACTTCTAATAAACTTGCCGCAATTTAGCTCACTCGTGAGAGAAGCTCGTTGAAGAACAACTATGCAGAACATGCTCCCAAATATATCACGGAAGGACTGATTTCAAGCCCTGGTATCCGAAAACGGTGGAAAACTGATCGCGCACACCAAATGATCGTTTGCGATAGCGCACATTCTACCGTTTTCCCGAGTATTGGCCGCAAAACTACTCCCGACTCCACCCTTCCTCTCGATCACTTGTGGGTACACTGCCGAACGTGGTGTGAACCGAGAATAATCATTGTTGTGCTGAGTGTTGTTCATTTTTTGATAATATGCTTTCCTCTTGGTTTTCGTTTGTTTTGTCCGTCGTTGTCTGTTTATGTGCTTTTAATTCTTGGATAGCCTCATCATACTGGCCAAGCGTTTCCTGAGTGCAAGCGCCATCATCAGGATTTTCTCAGTATGAATGCAAGACACTGACAAATTCCGCGCAAAATGATGTTTTTCGATCACTTTTGCTAATGGTGCATGCACCGATTACCGGCTCCGAGGCTAATAACTGGTACCGTTGCAATTATTTTGGGAGGAGCACCACACCATAACCCATATGCCACCTTGCGACCGACGTTGCCTCCGGCTGTCGTCCCTCCCACAGCTCTTTCTTTCGCGAGAACTCGCTATTTAACCCATTCGTGACCGCGTGGGATTGTGCAATGGCAGTACAGTCAGGAAATTTTTGTTCAATAAAATTTGAGTGGACGGAGATTTCCTCTACCCAGGGCTGACGTAGATGAATGAGGGTATGAGGATTATTTTCCATGGAAGAAAATGTTCCAAATCCATTCCGAAACGTGGTAGCCAACGGTGGATGCCATTGCTCGAGTGTGAGGTCTTGTCCCCCGCCACCGGTGCTGACATTGTCAGCGTTTTAGGTTTATTCGCCAGGTCGATGCTCCAAAACAAGTAACGCGTCCTGCATCCGAATAGAGCCCACGAAAGAAAGCAAAACCCAGCTGAATTGGTTTAAGCTAGAATCCTAGACCTGTAATTCTGGCTAGTTGACATCTATCATTTCCGCGCCCCACTCCGAGCCAGTGCGAACGTCTGAGTTTAATCACAACGCGATAACGCCAATATTTTGTTTTTCTTCTGCAAAATTCATGTATCGAAGAAAATGAGGGTGACCGCAGTGCTAGAGACTGGCCACAATTCCACACCGAAGTCGAATTCGCCTATCGTCGTACCGCCTACCTTCGGGCCGCAGCTCCTTCATGCTCGAACACACAACTCGGCACAGAGAACACCTCGCACGGCTTCCTGAAGTTTAGCAATTTTTTGAGATCCGGCACTTATGATTTCACTTGGCCTCTCCAACGTTACTGCCGTCTGAAATGCCTCCAGACTAGTGACTTTGCCAATTGTTCGGTCGCTCAGTGAAATGTTGACTGCATCGTTGGTCGACCATCGGATCGACAAAATATGGAGCACTATGGGTCGTCTGTGTTTCTCGCTCATAAATTACGTCAAGCTGACGATTTTGGGAGCCTCACTGATTCACAGGGGTTTCAGCTGGAACAAGGCTGTCTCCTTGAACAGATCCCAGTTATGATGGGTTTTGTAGGACACTTGTGACAGTTCTACCTTGCTGCCCCCTCAGATGAAGGCGAGGAATCTGGATTGAACATCCAGACCCGTTTGCACATAGGACGCCTTGTGGGTTTTCAGGCTTTTTACAACTTAGTGAAGGGCCCAAGGTAGCACTTTCCTTGTATTTTCTACGCAATTGGTGGGTACTCAACCGATAGTTCAGAGCAACAAGTTGAACGAAAGTGGCTTGCAACAGCTAAACGTGTAAGTTAGACTCCAGTAGATGCCACGTAACTCTGAAGAGCCTCTTTCCTTCCCATTTTGTGAGGATGGGGCAACCGGCAACGTGGAAGTGGTGGAACGCTCGGCTGGCCTGGAGACACACGACAATCCGCATTTTATTCACCGTACACGTCAAAGAATTACCACGGCGAGAACTCCCTGTCAAAGTGCTAACTGGATAGTTCCATTGAGGAAATCTCAACATGCAGGGAGTAGGAGATAGTTTTTGGTAAAAACAACTTATTCACTGAAGCACTTCTACTGGTCCTTGGCTTGGTTCGAAATTTCATGAGAGTTGGCCAGTACTTTTTGTTGGAGGTCGTCATATTTCAAAGCTACAGTTATTGTTGTTGTTGATTACACTTCTAAGGAGACCACTCGATTCCTGGCCAAATTCGTGATTGGTTCAAATCTGACCCTCCCAGTACGGCCAATCTCCTTCTATACACCTAAAACAAGGTGTTGGCAGCTAGATCACTCGTCGAAAAGTGACAGTTTACAATTGTGTGACGGTTTAGTGGCTAAGTTGATGGATGTGTGTCCTCTCAATAATCTCGCAGAAGCGTCTACTGCTGCTACTTTAGTCCCACGTTGGAGCTTTTAAGAAATTGTCCTTTATTAGGAGAAAAAAAAACATGTTTTTCTGAACCATCGGGAATTTTGCTGAAGTTGATTCATTAAATCTCATAGTGTCTTATGGTGAGAATGGATGACGTTCGCGAAGAAAAAGGTGACAAACACGCGTTTTTAAAAAATGGCATATTTTTTTAGTATACTCTTTTTCTTTCGATAAACAATTGATCTCCTAGCTTCCAATTTGATTTCTACTTCATCATTATTGTCGAGTTCTATTAAAGCAGTCTCAAGGTGGGCAGTTGTAGCGCAGACTGCTCTAATCTAGTAAATTATTCTACAATGTTTCAGGGTATCATACACTAGTAGTGTGATAGTTATTATCCTCTTATTTACCGAACTTAAAGGCACAGTCGAATGAAGTCTTTTGAAAGGTTCTCTTTTGTCTGTTGCATAGATCCTTGAGGGACTACCATGGATGTGGTACTTCTGCATTTGGAAATCATTCGAGGCGGCTCATTTCGCATCAGTACATTGCCTTGTGTGGTGTGCCACTATTTTGATCCTGTGACAGGCCTTTCATACTTTTGTCAAAACCTTTAAGTTTATTTGATGAATGTGGGGAGGGTGAGTTGGAAGCCAAGAGTCGGATTAGGAGCCAAGAGGAGTCCCTCCCAGAGTGAGAAAGAGGGGTCTCCAAGCTCAGGCGCTATGACTACTGCGACTCAAAAGGTGCGCGGTTAAGCGCTGAGGCCTTGCTCTATGCGCTACCGCTCTACCAACCACGGTATAGGTGGTGTGTGCCCTCCCGCGTACGACGAACTCTCTCTCGTTATTTCCTCTCCATCGCAGCGCTGTGTCGTTCCGTCGTACCACAGCCGGCCTCATAAGGGGAATTTAGTGTTTTCTAAGGTACTTTTTGCTTTTTCTCCTCCTCAAACTTCCTACCTCCTTCTCACGATTGGCTCGTCCAATTCCCTTCCATAGAACCTGTGTACCGGAGTTATTGGTGTTCATAAACTCAGACGTAGCTATATCAGCGCTGTCGTTAATTGGCATGGCGCGCTCACAATGATGCGTTATGATTGCAACCATATGTGGATCGTAAATCCAGGTTAGGCTGACCCCAAGGACTCGTGATGTTTGCTGGGGGCGAATGGCGGCGAACGGACGAAGCTTTTCCCGGTTCGAGTCGTCATTGACCTAATTTCCCTCATCACGGACCAGGGGCGTATTATGTACCCTCTCGTGTGTACACTTTCGAACACTGGAGAAAATAGGGAAAGTGAACACTACTGCCCGTCAGAGGCCTCGTAGCAGGTCTCGAGTTGGCGTTGACTGATCAGCCCCAAGGCATGGGTGAAGCAGGACTACAACTTCCTCACTCCGATGAAAGCATCTAAACACTGCTGACTGGCGAGGAAGCCATCGGCCGAGACAAGAAGCTTCCACGGTCCAGTGGCTTGCTATGTCTAAGCACAACACCTATGGCGCCCACCCAGCCGTTCTAGCTTCTAGCTATCGAGCTGTCGTTTTCTTCCCAGACACGGCTGGTTTACCAATCTCGTTAAGCAGAGAAGCTTTTCTTCATTTTCTGTGTGCGGGTGGAGGATCTAGCACATTTACTACTCGTCTACTGCTGGCTGCAGCAGTGCTCGGGCGCGAATTAGGCCCCAAAACTCTGTATCTTTGAATGTATCCCCTCTTTCTTGACCAAGCATGATGGTCGTCGACAGTTCTAGGTACCCATCACCGCCGGCTGCTGCTGCACATGCCCCCTGGCAACAGAGACTCCTGTATGGGTATATTTCCGAACGGAATAACTAACTAAGTGAGAGACATTTGTTGTTCAATTGAATGAAGGGTTCCATATTGCAACGGAAACGTGAAAATGTGTAAGGTTCGATTAATATCATGCCTATCTTCAGTGATCGCACTCACTTCAGTATCTCGGAAACCAAGGTGGAGGGGAGATGTGATCGAGAACGAGAACAAGTCATTCCGAGGGAGGACAGCTGCTGAAGTCGTGCGGCTACAAATTTGTTCGATAATAAAATGTCATGGGCAAGAGAACGTGTTTTCAGATGTCCAGTTTAGTGAGCACATCAGATGTGTTTCCTGAGCCCCAATAAACAATGGTTTTTGTTCCTATCAGGAGGAGAAGCTAGCCCATACTTGACCTGACCAACTACGTTCCATATTTTGAGCCAACTTTCAGGCATACCGAAAATCAAACATTGCATCGATTACCAGCATTCATAACATTGCAAGCAAATGACTTGAAATTGGAAGTAATCAATGGTTAACTGCTGACTAATCTCAAATAGAACTATTTGGAAGCAGTGGATCGAAAGCTGGAGGAACATAAGAAAGGAAAGGATGCGTTTCAAAAACTCATCTTCCCAACTGTTTACTAGCGTAGCAGCTACTCTGGTCCATCAGCAGTCATGTCAAATCATATAGCTAGAGAATGGTAACTCCTCTCTGGTTTTTGTAAATATACCAAGACAGTTTGGAGAGGGACAAAAAATGGGAACCCAGACATTTTCAGAATAGTCCATGGCCGACTCTTCATTACCCTCAGCATAGTTGTACTAATATTTAGCTTTGTGGTTTTAGCCTCCGAGACTGTTACAGCGTTCATAGGCTAGCGTTCGGGCAAAATCGCCTCATTCGAATACCTTTCAAATTACAAGACATCAATCATGAAAACATCAAGAGTTGAAAAAACAAAAGTGTTTCATCTTTTTCAATTTTCCACCGGATAGGCGATTTTGCCGAAAGTTAGCCAATAAATCGTGAACCAATCCCGGAGGTCAAAGCAACAAAGCTAAAAATCACTTACCATTAGACATTGACTTGATCAACCTTGTCTGAAT